AAACTGATCCAATTTGTGTGCTACTCGTTTATGGTAGTTTGGGCAGGGGAGGCCTAGCCCCCTGAGGATGTGCAGAGTTGTGGACCTTGGGCACGCCAGAAACGTATGATCTTGGGTTCGAATCCTGGTTCGTCCCGATTATGCTTGTAGGTTGGTCTGCACCAGTACCCATGCTCGTGTGTTTCACCAAAACTCGAAGACCAGCTTCACTTCAGACTTACCTCCAACATTAAGCTGATATGCTGTGATATAACCGGAATAATGAACACTGTTATAGCCTGCGTTGGATATCTTGTTAAGGATATACCTTGCTGTTTAAAGATAACACTTACTCTGAAAGACAGAGAGTGTTCTGCTAGGCAGGGCGTTTCCAGCTTTGATGATGACAGTCTCTCCCTCCACCGACTCCACCCTCACATCCATAGAGTAACGGGAGTTGGACTTGAAGCCGAGCAGATAGTTGCTGTAAACGCCGTCATTGGCTGTGTTGTCAGGGACTGTGAAACAAACGAACTAGCCACAGTAACTTTGCTCTGAGAGCAACTGACAGAACATAAACATCCAGATTAATGAAATTATACTTCGGTGTACTAAAAATCCGAAACATTTATTAAAGAAATATCTTATGCATTCGAAATAATTAACACAGCTTCATTTGTCATATACAGCGTGGTAGAAATAGATCGGTCGACTTAAAGTTGACACTGCCCTCGTGCCCTCTGCTCAAGAAAATACTATTTAAAGGTCACATGCAAAGTAAAACACAACGTACGGTATGGACTTACGGTAACAAATGATAAAAAATGCAAATTCAACTTATAAAGTTGAAACAACGCGATGAAAAACCCCGCGAAATCGGAGTTGAAACGATTCACAAAATTCACCCCAGCGGTGATGAAAAGTGGTTTAAACAGCTGTGCTGCGCATGCGCAGTGAAAGTTGTGTCTGTCTGCCTGTCTGCTAATGACAATATGCAATACACATCTTCGATCACTGACTTCATGCAATTTGAACTTAACGCCTATCAGGCTATACACCATAAACAAAACGCATTGATTTATGTCTCGTGCACCCGAGTTCTGTCTCTGTCACATGATGTAATTACACAGACAGGCAGGTGTGATACTTGTCGAATTTCTGATTTCAAAGTAGTAAAATGCATTCGACGGATGAGCACTGTGATCTTAGCTACAAATTAGTTATCAAAACATTGGATCATACCAAGACAACGACGAAAGGGGTGTTGGATGGTTTGACTCTCTTTATTTTTGTACTTTTGTACTTACCTTTGCCTACTCATATGATACAATGAGAAATTGAAGCATTAAATATATGTTTGGACTCTCTATTTTTGTACTTTTGTTCAAAATTGAAATTGATGCATTAACCCTTGTCTTATGGAGCTGGGTCCAAATGGATCCCAAGGCTATAAATATTGTGATAGAATCGCTCAGTGGTGAACTATCTTAATGGGACGTTTGGATATCTTCAATTGACCTTTTTTTCTTTTAAGATTTAGAAAGAATTTCCATTATAAAGTAGTTTATGTGTTATTGCACATACCCTACTGGGGACTGATGGGGTCCATAAATAAAATAATCTCTCTCTTTGTATGTCTGTCCTGAAATTGTTGACGATATTGTCAAATGGACACATAAGTTTGCTGAAACTAAACTTGTGGCATACAGTGGAAGCGTAACTATGTAAGAAAACATGTAGTCTAATCCAATACAATACAAGCCGACCCCTTAATTAATTAACACGGTCTAAACTTTGACCGATTAGCACATAACCACTCAAGCATGATTCGACTGCTGACTGTTCAAAATTCGACGGATTAGGCCGTAATCACTTGTACACATGACATGTTATGGTGTCTGTTGATTGCAAAATGTTATACATAAAAAATGAGCATGTATTTACAAAACCCAACATCTCTATACACACACTTAGAGTGTATCGGCAAATGTACCAGCCAATGAAAGTCTTCGTTACACTTAAGAGCACGCCCACCCGCTCTGACTGGGTTCGGTATCCCGGGTGCTTCGTTTCCAGAGAAGTTAACCCAAGTACAAAATATTGCACTTTTGTTTATTTGGGGTTTTTTCATAATCAGCAATGTATATTATATGTCATGAATAAGTGATAATTGTGTTTAAATTATGTTTGTTTTGGGGTTGCATGTGACCTTTAAGGTAAGTATGTGAAGAGACATAATACTCACGTAAGCCATTATCCTGGAGAGTAATGTTCAATGTGTCGCCTGGTCTAGAGACCTCTACCTCAACTGAGGCATTGACGATTGGAGCGTATCCCTGGTGAACGTAGGCGTAAGCCACGACTCCACTACGACCTCCTGAGTAGTCATACGTCTTAGAGCTGGTCCAGGTATCCACCTTGAAGGGCAGGGTGCCAACCCTTGGGCGTGACGTCACCACAGCTGTTATGCTCTCGTTCGTGTTAGAGTTGCGTTCTAAAGTATACGTCCATGTTCCCGTCTAGGAGTAAACGTTACGACATGACGTGGGGCAGGTACATCTGAGCCATGTCTTACAATATCATCCCAGAAGCGATTTTGAAATCAGTTTGTCAAATCAGCGTAAGTAAGAGATTTTAAATCTCGCACACAGTACAAGAACAGTAATCAGTGTAAACGACATATTTACAACATTTTTACCTAAATAACGAAAATGCAACACAGTCATCTATCTAGTTATTAAATCAGAGCTGAATCAGGAAATACTCTTTCCAATCTTGCATTATTGAATGTATGAATCACTGGGATGCCATAACTGGAATGGATACTATTGGAATCTGACACAAAAAGTGACATTAGGTCAAGATAAATGCATTTCATTCCTACACTGGTAGGCCATATAATTATATTCTATGCATTACTATTTTACTGTTTAAAAATAGCTTTATGTGCATATAATAACACGAAACAATCATACAAAACACGGTAAATGTTAACATGGTTCAAGATGGATTCATGCAATACGTTTTACTTTTGTCTTACCTTCACCAGTGGGAAAAGGAATCTTTTGATGTTTAAAGTCTCATCATTGCTGTATTCGTTGGAATTCGAATTATAAACAACCCCAGACGGATCTCCAATTTTGATCTATGGGGAATGAAGGGTATTTTTGAGAAGACAAACGAACACAATTGACGTAAAGTGTACAATGAGCAGAGCGTTGTTTAGTAAAGGGCAGGTGATGTTTTAAATTTCGTTAACCCGAAGTCATTTACTTCGTCGGGAGAATCGGAGTACCGACACAAGGACATAGTGTTCAGAAGAAATCTGCTTCAAAGAAATGTCATCTTATGACGGTTTAGCGGTACTGAAGTATCTGGGATGTAGGCTTTTCAAACATATAGGATTGGCTTACTTGGATAATATGACAATCCTTCGTTAAATCAGGTTCGTTAGGTTTCTTGAGTATTAAAACATGAGATGGTCTGATTTTACAAATCACTTCAATTCACCTCTGTTTCCGCACCCTGTGACAAGGTAAAGATGAAACGTGTGTTGTTACCGACGGTGGAGTCAATCACAAGTATTCTGATGATTGTCGTCTTTGTTGACGTTAGAACAAATGCGCCACGATCAATCTTGAAAACAATTTAGAGCAATCATGGATATGTGGAATAAACCTAAATGTTTATTTTACTTTAGAGTCAACAAACAAGTACAGCAAACCAAGCCAGTGATTGACAGTGTGAAAATACTTCAGCAACAAATTTGCAACCACCTCACCCTAATCAGTCGGATGTTGGCATCTTTTTCTGCCCTGGAAGCAATAATATGAACTTGAATTGTTCACATCACATGCTAGGTAGTTCGGTTACCTCAATATCATCATCGTCCTCGTCGCAGAGGTTGATGTCTTTCAGAAGCCGCTCTGCCGCACCCGCAAGAGCTGTCGAACCGGACGACTCGTCAAAGAACGAATACTGACCGCCTGCCAAATGAAACATTACTGAATCCATTACATTCAAGATATCTGGTATCCTAACAAAAAATGAATACTTACCTCCTGTCACATACCACAATGTCATTAAACACCCATGGTATTCAGGTTGTCTGGGTTCCTAATAAAATGAATACTTACCTCCTGTCACATACCACAATGTCATTAAGCACCCATGGTATTCAGGTTGTCTGGGTTCTGAATAAAATGAATACGTACCTCCTGTCACATACCACGTCGTGCTTGAGAATATTTCGCTCATATGACGACGTGCATGCGTGTGTATGTGTATGTGCGGCTGCTTACTAGCCCAGACTTAAGCTGGTTTTATAGTGCTAGCCCACTGAGATACCATGCCGCAGTGAAGCATGAATACCCCACTCAGACTCCGAGCCGACCAGTCCTTGTTGTAACCATTAATTCCGAGAGCCAGGCAGGGACCAACAAGTACCACATTTTAACGTCTTTTGGTATGACGCTGTCGGAGATCGAACCCGGGATCCTTCCGCTCTCCGGGCGGACGCTCTAACCACTATATCACGGAGACGGTCTGGTAAAATGAATACTTACCTACTGGCACAAACAGAAATGTCATTAAACCCATGATATTCAGGTTGTCTGGGATAATATAAACCAACCTCCTGCCACTTGCAAGGGGCGGTGGGGTATCCTAGTGGTCAAAGCGTTCGTTCGTCTCGCCGAAAACCTGGGTTCGATTCCACACATGGGTAGAATGTGTAAAGCTTATTTCAGGTGTCCACCGCCGTGATGTTACTGGAATATTACTAAAAACTAAACCACTCACTCACATATCACTTGCAAAAATGTATGTCATTTCCTGCTTACCAGTTACTGTTGACAGTCTTTGTAGGACTTCCGCAGCAGCATCACTATAGGCCATGGTATGAACAACAACCTTGGAGCTTGTAATATCGGAAAAGATGGCGTTCACAGACGGATTAATGTTTTCCCTTCCATCAGTGACGAGGAATATTCGTCCATTTTCTGTCGTTTCCCCCGTGCCGTTTAGCATCTAGATACATAGAACATATGATCACTGTTTGTCTCAAGTTGACGCCGCATCTGAAACATTTCCAGCCGTATCTGACAAACTAGATATTCATATCCAAGTTGTTGGAGTACGATGGAATCAGCGAGCATGTCCTCACTGCATATTAAATTGTTTCATTAAATGTATTATCTGGACGGTTATATTTGTAATCTGAGATCCCCGTATTCTGGAACTATGAATAAGACTACTACAAAGAAAGAATTATGTCAACTCAAAGATTCAGATTGACAAAATCTCTCAAGAAGAGGGCATCACCTTACTCTCAAATAATTTATTTTCCTTTCATCTCGAACATTATCCCAGAAAATCAAGCCTTGGTGTCAACATTTCAAAACGTGCCTGGTGCAATCGAGTATAATCTTTAACGAAAAAACATTAAACAGCAGAATACATCTCTTGGTCAAAAAGGTGTAAGATCATTGTCAGAGCATCCAAGCACTCAATTAAGCTCTCAGAACGTTTTATGGCGGTCACGTTGTGAGCATGTCCATAGCTGAAGCATCAGCGACACACTTGATGTCCCTTGTACTGCATTCGGCCGTGTGTTGTACAGGTACATAATTAGCATTCTTTCTTTAAATCTGCCTATCCACGTGATCAAATCCATATTTTCGCAAACCTGCTTGTGACCATACAGACAGTGTTATGTTTATGAGAAAGACAATCATACATCTGTACCTCGATGGCTTTTAGAAGACCTAATCCTATAGCTGTAGCACCACCATAGTCATTTATGTCCGGCAGACCCCGGGCCAGCATCTGTCTGTCCGCAGGGGATGTGATGAAACGCATGTTGGCCCAGATTCTGGCAGAATTGGAATACACCACGATCCCCACTTCTGTGCCGACAGGTAGAATGTCCCTGATGATCCGATCAGCCATTTGCCGCAGTCTGAAGTATCTGGAATTCTGTCACAGTCATGGAGTCATGGCAATATCATTAAAATGTCTGTTTTTTTAATATACAAGATGATTACATGGAAACACCAGGGACCAATAATTGTATTTGTGTCATCAATTATTGAGCAATTTCTGTTCTGGTACATTTTGTCCCTAATCCTACTTTCGTTTCATTCCAGCAAAATCTATCCTATACAAGATAAGATTAAATGTCATCTCGCAAATTAGCTCGAATTTTATGGCATTAATTAGACATGCAAATTGTGGGATGTGGCAAGTGTTAAAGAGGCGTTCTTGCATTGAATGTTTGTCATAAACATGTATTTATTTGTTCTCATACTAAGCGGCACATTTACATGTCATGATCGCGTACTTTATCAAGACAATAAAAGTATTCAATAAGATGCGTGAAATAGTTGCTTACCTCTTTCATCGACCCCGAGAGATCTAACAGAAGAACGATTCTACGTCCACAAATGGTTGTGTTGCCAACCGGCTCTCTCTGGCGATAGACAACATTGAACTGTGGGGCTCGGTTACTAATGTCCACAGGGTTACCTCCCTTTATGTCTGTATGTTCTTTGATGACGTCCCAAGTTCCCCTTTCGCTGCACATTTTGTTATGCCTGTTTGGTGCATTGGGGTTATGAATCAAGTCCATTCTACCACTGTCAGGGTCACTTTCGCAAAAGTGAACCACCTAGAACGTAAAATGTTGCGTCAGTTTTCGGAGATATAATGTATTCTAAACTTAACAACTTAACTTTTATTACTATTGGAACTGCAAGAAAAGAAGCAATGGCACAATCAATGCATATTTTCTTGCGTAATAGTTGATAGTTTCAAGGGCAATTGTTTGTGTCAGTTTCCAAGCTTGCAACGTATTCCGTATTACGAACGAAATAAACGCAATATGGTTGATGTTAGCCCCCAGCTATTCCGGCTAAATGGCACTGGTCACTGGTGTATGAATGATCAAATCACAATCAGACAATGACTTATATAAAAGCAATGTCCAGTAACACTGGGATAGATGATATGCACTCACCAAAGTTACCTAGCCTGACAGTGTTTGCCCTGAACCCTGAAAAGCTGCAAGCCCTAAGGACCCAGAACCATAAAAAGTTGTGGTTCCTGATCAGAATGTGTAGGCCCTATATTTTAATATGGAAATAATTCTCTTAGTTATTGGGGGATGAAAAAGCCGTCGGTCATAAGGACCTGCAGAAAACAATAGCTGTGGGAGTGAATGGTTTTCAGTTGGCCTCGGGGCTAAGGACCTAAGTTTCGAACGCTGGTGCCTGGCCATCCATTTAGTTACAAACACGTGTATATGTTTCTGGAGATTTTCTAAGCTGTAATCAACAAATTGAGTTATGCATTCGCGAACAAAAACATTATTCTGGAATTCAAATAGGAAAAATGCTTATGAATGAATACTTGATCTCGTCGTCGCTATATGACTGAAATAATGCCGATGCGACGTAAAACCCAACTCAACTCAATCTGTTTACCTCCTTCAAGAACTGGGCATACATGACAGACGTTGTGGCCGTGTTGTCGAAGGCGTTTGGGAGAAAGTAACAGTCTTTATTCACCACATCCTTACTGTCAACAGGTTCGCAGCTGGAGTCTTTCACTTCATTGATAAAGTTACCGGTGATGTCGGTGGAGCAGGCAGTGGGGCGTACGGTCGTCCCTGTGTCATCTACGTAATAGACTGGGTGCTGGCGGCTACCGGGGATGCCGTACTCATCAAATACGCCAAATCTTAGATGGGCGAACTCGTGCACCAGAACACGACCTTCGTGTTTGGAAACAAAATCATGAACAAATTAGAGTGCGGCGTTTACTAAACATAAGAATGTGTAAATAACGTACCATATACTTTAGCTTAGTAAAAAATACAAATGAAGCACATTGTGATCTGTTTGATTGGCATTTTAGAAGTTGATGAATAATAAGAAAGGTACGATACTTGTATGGATAACAAATTTCTTTGTTATGATGCGACGTTTTGGTATAGATTGTTACACAGTGAAGCAAGAGTGAAGTAATACAGCTGTTATAGGTATTTGCTTCATTATAACGTCGCACAACTAAGGTATTTCGGCGACGGGGTAGTACACTTATTAAAAAATGAGGGGGAACAAAAAGTAGAAATTTTGAAGTAATACAGCACAGAACCGACTTATAGATATGTAACAGAGATTAAGTTGAGGAGGCAGAACAAAGTATACATAGCAGATAGGATTAATTAGCAATGATGGTGGCTGGAGTGCTCTGTTCTGGGGTTTTTTCCAGTTTATTGTTGGTTGTCAGGGGTAACACTCCACCTACCTGCATCCCCATAATTGATGTCACGACCGTTGTCTTTGTCCAGCACATAGTCGGGTGTCAGAAGGATATAGCGTCCTGGCTGCCCACACTGCCCTGGTTGGAACGTGTAGGGAGTATTGCCCTGTGAATGTAATGAAGAATTAATTTACTGTGTCGAAATAATAAAAATACACTGTATGATAACATGTAAGAATTTCTTTGTAGCAAGAGCTGCCTTTCAAAATCTTTTTATGATCTTGTTCACAAGGCCAAAATATGGAATCTTCTGTTTCGTAGTTTATCGGGCACTTGGCGTTTACTATTGGCTCAAATGCGGACCGATGAAGTGCAAAATTACTCGAAAAGTATTTGACATGTAATACTCAGTGAAACGCTGAACATAATCAAGACATATGTCCAACTCTGTGAGTTTCTTTTGCAGAATTAACTATCATCAAAATATTGTCACATTTCAATATTTCTTACGAGGCAGGAGTGCAAAGAGAGGAACTAGAAGCACGTGAACACGTGCCGACAAAGGTTTTGATTCACCTACCTCTGCTGAGAGATAAACACGATATAAGACCCGCATGAAGTTACGTCTATTATTTACAAAGTCTATGATTGTTTCAAGGCTGAATCACAGAGGAGTGGACTCACACATGCAATTTCTAAATATGTAAAACGCACAGCTTGTGCTGTTGGGATGTCTGAGCGACAATGAAAACACGTACAGAGCAGCAGAAATGGCCTTTTAGCCAACAGTATCACACCTGGGCTCATTTGCACAAAGCGATCTTAGCGCTACAATGATTGCAACTCCCATTCTCCAACATAGGCTTAAGATAGTCGGTTCACGGTTTCATTCTCAGGACGTGAACAACCTGAAATTTTGCATTCGCAGGACGTGGACAGACGGTGTACCTTTGATGTCGTCTGTTGTTTTTGTAAGGGATTAATGAACTGGGAAGTGTTAAAATGTGAACTGTTATCCGAATTGTTAAGGTTTCATGAACTCTGTTCACTCTTGTAAGCATGTGACTATGATAGGTGAGTGAGTTCACTCAGAAAATGTTTGGTTTAAACATATTTTTATTCCTGAAGAATCTGGTTTGGTAAACAAGTAGAACTTTGCTTGTATCCATATCTCACCAGTACATACATCATTTAAACAAAACACACAAGAACTGATACACAAAACGACAAATAGAATCATATATGTGCGTGGTAGGTGCTAATAAACCTTGAGCCTGCAGTTACACTTCATTTATTATTGTTTACATATATTAGTATAGAATAATTTATCAAATTGTTATGACTTAAAGATGTATTGATGCAGGGACTCTGTTATGTTCTTATTGACACCGTTGTTAGCTGGAGGTATTCCGTATAACACAGTTTGGAGGCTATGGCCATTTACATAGGAAGAGGTATTATTTCCAACAGCAGTGTATAACTTACATGTAAAAAGATAGTAAACAGTATCTTCATTGTGGTATTCACAAGCGCGTCCAGGGTTGTTAGAAATGTGTCTAGTTACTTTCGCATTCAAATCACTACAGCAGAGCTTAAGTTGACAGTGTACGATCTGACAGAACCGACTGCCATAATTCAGATCTAGATAACTATTTGATTCATCATTTTTAAGCAGAGATTTGAATTCACCGATTGAATTAGCGAATACGAAATTATTAGGTATGAATTCTAAATTTTACTTGAGTCAGGAAGGAACGATTGTTCATATATTTTAGCCCTTTAATTTATTGTTTGTAGCATATATCTATTACGGAGATCATATTGACTGTTTTCAGAGACAAATGTAGGAACCAGGTCACAGAGGTAGTCAGATTGGACCGTGGGGACATCAGAGTCATTGTGTTTGCCGACACAGTGTCTTATTTATTAAAACTGAAAAAAAGAAACTTGTTTCGTTTCCATATAACTTCACAATCTAGTATTGCCCGAAGTCTTGCAATCACACTCTCTGTCTATTGTCTGGCGTTAATTAGCTCAGTAACCCATTCGCACGAAGTGGACACTTTTTGTCTGGACTTTGTTTTTACACGACACAGGGTTTCCACGTCCCGAGAATACCCCAGATAGTCGTAGCGCTAGGATCGCTTTGTGCAAGTGGGCCCTGAAGGGGCTGTCTCAAAACCAGTGAAAGTAGAAAAACTTGATTCGTTCAAAAATAACTTGTTCGGAATGCTATTAGGAGGTTAATTGGCGAAAATAAATTCCTTTCCTTGCGTGTTTTAAAGAAGCACATGGAGACTGACCATTCCCTGCATACATCAATTATGGTTATTGCTAGATAAATTTGGGTTTCGTTATAAAAAGATTAGCGGGAAGCACAAGAAAAAAATGGTGATTTCAAAATTTCCAATTTGGAAAGATGATATTTCAAAATTTCCAAAATTGGAAAGATGATATTTCCAAGGCTTGGAAATCTTTGGAAATTTAGGAAGGATTTTACCACTACTTCTTTCAGTTTCTCCTTTTCCCAAGGATCCCCGTGAGTGTATAGACTGTGTATTCGTCCTCCTAGGAGTGTATTCGTCCTCCTATGCGATCAACTATAACCAGGGAGACTATAAGACGTTGTAGATTATTCCTGGTATAACTTCTCTCGTCTGCATCCTTGTTGTTCTAGGTGTCAAAATTGGCATTAACTGTCATATTTGCCCTGATATGGCTAGCATTTTCCAAAATACAGTTTTAAGTGTATGGTTTACTTATTATCCACAAAAGCGCAAATAGTTTTTGACCTGTCACGGTTTGCATAAACACAAATTACATAGACCTACGTTACATCATTGATTAAATAAAAGTTTACCGGACCCACTGACTGACTGGCCATGGTTTATTACATGTCATAAAAGTGAACCCTTGCCAGGGAATAATAGGCTTATTGTAGTAGAATACATTCTTTAATGGTACCCTCTAATTAACACCTGACACAAGGGATGGACCGTTTAGGTGGTTTATCATTGCGAAATCAACAGTCAACAGACCATGAAATGTTGTTTTAAGACTGTGAGCGAATAGAGAACAACCCGTTTGGGTTTGTGGTCAGAGACGGTGTTATGCAGTTGGTGTATTCACGAAATATCATGAACTTAATAATAGATAATTGGTTATATTGTCCACACACAGGCGGACTGGGGCAAAAGAACCCAAATGAATCCCTTCTTAAAAACTTCATAGTGTAACTAATTAATTTGGTCATATACAATAAAAGGTGACTAAATGTTTAATTTTAGATAACGTTAAATAATTTCTAGAGAAACCACTACACAAGTTCATATCACAGATGATTCCAGAGACAAATAGTTTATGAGATTCTAGTTTATGAAAAGCATTAAATTCCAAACAAGCCAATCTGTTCTCTAATGCTCGGGAATTATTACCACTTACATACCATAGTTTGAGATGTCGACTCAGGAAGCCGACCTTTCGATTCTTATAAGGCTCAGGACATTGACAAGGGGTACGCTTTAAAGTTTGGGTGTTATTTTAGCACATGGCTAATCTCATGTGACGTGTTATTACAAGCTGGTGGTTGATGGAAGTGAACACATCGCACACTGAAGCCGACCGTGTAAAAACATGATCAAAACAATCATATGGTAAACACATTTAACAAGGCACTGATCCAGAGCAATTTCCGCGCACTGGTTGTTGCTTTTGTTATTGCTTTTCTCCCCTGAGTACCCGGATGATATCCCAGTACTTTCGATTGGTTCGTGACCTTTGCTGCGCAACCCGCATGCGCAATTGATCGTATAGGTGTAGATTGATCAACAAAAATAAAATCTTTTTACTCGATAATATTTCCATCATTTTGAAAATGAAATGAAAACACTTTGAAGTTTAATCATCTGCCAGTGGTAAAAATGTCAGGACTGAAAAAACCAGAAGTCAATGTATGTCTATATATTTTGTCTTATAATCCTAATTATTATATTGCCATATTTGGCATGCATTTTGAAACTTAATAAAAGCATACGATTATACTTATAGCGTATTTATAACATGACTGTAATATCTAGACATTTTATAGAATGCCAACAAGAATCATATTTCACACACACCCTAGGTATGACCTAGTGTATGTTGTCTGTCTCATTACGGCGAAAACAAATGATTCTGTTGAATGCTACCACAAATGAATAAAAACAAAATGCAAATATTAGAAATAAAACCGACTAAAGTCTGCAACAATGTCAGGTTATTACCTTGTTCGAGGAATGTATCCATCAATATCCACATAGGTTAAGTCCCGATTTTGACAGCCTCAAATTTGGATATAGGAGCCAATAGAGCTTTGGTCTGGATGTGTATGCTGTTTGTCCCCTCTTCTGACAACAGTCCCATCTGCTATTGTAGTGACTGAGGCTGTTTTCAGGCACTGATATCTCCATATAATGGTACCATTCCTGCTGGCAGTTCGTCTCGTATTAGTTTGTATTAGTGTTGAAGAATTTTACTTGTTCTGTACTTCTCTCAGGTGATTGCATTAACATAACTACCCTTAATTGGTGCAGCTAGTTATCCCAGGTTTGAGAGCGAAACTTCGCGAATCAGTGACCAAGACGCTGTAAAAAAGGGACACTACCTCCACATAAAGGAACAATATGCCATTGATCTGCAGCTGACAAAGAATCCCGTTCCATGCCAAGTGTCTTTTAACAGTCTAATACCCGAAAAGGGATACATCGATTCAGTTTTCACATTGGTGTATAATCTCATTGGTCAACTAATTGCATGATGTCCGCCATTCTTTAAAAGGTAATCTAATTAGCCAATAATGAGCATTAAATCCACTTGTGTTTTTCTTGGCTTGGTCATCTCCTCCCCACACTCCCCACCCACCCGTACCATTGTCTTGCTAATTAACATGGTCTGGTGATCCTCTTACGCCTTAAATAAACAACTTGCCCGACTGGCAAAGAGGAACACCCCATCAACTTACTGGCGGTTAATACATTGAAGGAAAGATGTTGTTTTACACAGGTACAGGGTACAGGACAGGGTGTAATCAGTATAGATTAGTAAATCTACATACATAAACATTACCTTTTGACAAATCCACTGTGCAAGAAAAAGTAATTAATCAATCAGCGTGTTATCGGTTAATCCTTTGATCAATGTTTGTTTTGTATCTCAGCTGATAATTCGTCTTGCTGCAGTTCCATGAGCATATTACATAACATGTAATACATTTGTCACATCAGACCATCAATTCATAATGCTGAGTACATGTATTTACTCCAGACACAAGAAATGCGAAATGGGAACCTTTGGCGGGTAACCTGAGTGGTATTACCATCATACCTGTTATAAATGCATTAATTGACCATCAAGTGAATGATGACAAATAACATGTGTAGGTTTATACCACCAAACACTCAGCTGGTTACAGCAAAGGGGATAGTAATCGCTGAATTGCATGCAATGTTAATTGCCTGAAAAAAAGTTATGGGCCGACACTGTTTGGAGGATACGAACGGAATTTCATTGTTGCATAAGAAATACATATAAGCATTGGATGTGTACTGAAGTTAAAATTGTATATACCTAAGTACATTTTCATTTGTCATAAATATAATATGTAATAGACATCATATGTTTACATGGCATGATTAAATATCGAGGTAAAAAAAACACAGAAATAAGATCAAATTGAAAAATTGGATCAGTCACTATGCCATCTATGCATTAAAAAAATCCGAAAAGCATATACACTGCTGGTATACTTTATTGCAATCAGACAGGAACTACTGGGGGTATTCTCAAATACATGTAACAGCATCTGATGAGCATCCACCCTTCCTAATGTCCCGCTGTTTGGGTTGAAGAAATTTTGTCAAGGTGGCCAGAAGCCCAGTCCCTGTGTCCGTCACGGTCGAGGGAGCAGATACCGACAAGCTTGCAGTTTGGTTTGGTAATTAGACTGTTGGCGAGAAACATTAATCGCTCTGGATCAGTTCCCCTCTAATTACATTGGGATATATACATGTAATGAGAAGAAGCATGAAAGTGTACATTCGATTTCGAAATGGCTAATGCTCAACTTGAACATAAGTTTATTCCTACACCTCGTTGGTGCAATATGCCGAAGGCCAAAGACAACCCACGACGAAGAAATACCGATACCTTGAACGACATCTTCAAGAACTGAGACACCAGTTTCAAAATAAAATGGAATGTTAACTGTTAGACAGTTTGCTGATTCAGCGTCTCTTCTTTCACATCTTTAATATATTTATAATGTACTTATAAATGTGTATGTATATTTATAATTATGTAATATTTTGAAACATTTCATAATATGATGTAATATAACTATTTATAAAAAAATCTGTAATATGTAGCATGTTGTAACATGATTAAATAAAATCTGTCCATATAGTCTCCCGTTACCACTCGTGGCTTACGCCTTCTATGTTTTTTTATGTGTTTTATATTTCAATGTTTATATGCTGAGACTGAAATGAAACACTATCTTTATACATATATTTGGCTCGTTTTCTCATTAGGTGTGCTCTCATTCGCATAATCCGGAATATCCTCTTCTATCAACACGTAGGCCTATCATTGTCTCTATAATCCAATGTTAATTTGCTAACGGACGGGACATCAACATTTCTCTTAACTCATCTGTTTGGACCAAAGGTCGATAGAGGGGAGTTTCCATGTATATTCTCACGCCGTTATCAAGATAACAGTTACCAGGTGAACAGAAGTATATATGCATAGTGACTAGCAGCAAATTAACACCAGGTGATTCAGCAAGTAGCACATCGTTGGGGGCATGAGGAGAGTAAGATCAACAAGTCTAAATCCACTCCTTTGTCCAAGTGATGGAATC